TATAACTTTTGAGGACATTTTCAGATTCAGCGAATAATATTTCATAAGAATTGACTGCTAAATGTCCTGGATACAAATTGCTGTTGACGAGTATTATTATAATATACTATAGTGGCTGCTTTTTCGCTATGACATTTTTGACCAATTCATTTTTAGAGAGTAAGTAATATAGTGATTTCTTCGTCACAGGACATCTTGCAGAATAACAGTGATTTAAATACAGTGCATGATAGAGAACATAAAAAACTAATGGCAACAAAATTAATAAATTCGGAAAATACTTTTATCATACCACCCGAAAAAATATTACTTAGATATAAATCATCCTGTTCCGGCCTAAACATTATAAATATTTCATAAACTAGAGATACCATGATACAATACAAATACAATGATATTTGCAATAAACTATTTTAGAAGTCAGAACAAGGAATTGGTAGTTACCTTTAGAATCCAGAAAAGGGATGAGGAATCCAAGAAAAAAATATATGAATTAAATGATATTTACAAAAACAAAATAAAAAAATTACCTAAAACAGCAATTTATCTTTAAAAAATATTTAACAATTTATGTTATTTGATGTAAAGTTATATTACCTTTAAAAAACTATTTTCCTTTGTTACTACAAAAAATTATGTTAAAATTTTTAAAAATAAAATTAACAAACTACAAACTCATGCTAACAAATGATTTTTAATATTTGTATAGAAACTTATTTCCTTTAACAATTTAACAATAGATGACAAAAACGCTAACATTTAGCAAGAAATGGAATTTCAAAATGTTTATATTATATTTCATTCAGTAAATACCGGTTTTACAAAATATCCCAATTATGGTTTACTAACTGTGGACCCGCGAATTCTCTCGAGTTGCTTTATAAAGAAATAAAAAGAACAAAATATAAATAAAAAATTAATAAAACCTAAATAAATGTTAGAAATATTTATACAGGGTGCCCGGAAATAAGGTTAATATATTTCGTGGGGTAATTTTACACGTAAAAATAAAAGAAAAATGTGCTATAAACATTAGGGTGGTTCTTATTTGACCGATGTCGAAATTTTAATCGTGCTGCCCCCTCATTTGTTTTTAAAAAATTTGAATGTTCTTTTTAACTTATTTCCTTCTATTGCCTGTAACAACGAGAAGTTTTCCAGATAGAGAATTTTTGCCTTTAATGTATTAATTTTTTAAAATTACTATTTATCTATGAAAAAGTATTATTTTTTGAGAACATGTAGAGGACATAAGTTACTTTTAAACAAAATAAAAAGAAATCATGTATTTTCATCCTAAGGTCTTTTTTACTTAGCTCAATTATTACTTACAGTTTTTCGTATAGGGGATTTTTGCTTTAAAACGCAATAATTTTATAAAATCATTAATAATTAATGTACAATGTATTTTATTGAAAATGGCATAAAAACAAAATATCAGTGATAATTTGCATTTAATCCATAATTAGTGTGCTTTGAAACGTAATTTTGTACTTTTCTAATGTTGGTGCCACCTAAATATCTTAAATTATTTGTTTTATAAAACAAATAATTTAAGATTTCCTAAAAGATATTTAGTAAGCACCAACATTAGAAAAGTACAAAATTACAATTATGTAAATAATGAAATTGATTTTTAGATTGTTTTCGGACAATTTATTTTTAAAGAAAGTAACATAATTAAAATGCTAAAAAAATTAACAAAATAAAACCCAGATAATTAGGTTTTTGGTATTTTAAAAATTGTTTACAACAGTCTTTTTTTGCTTCGGGAAATGCTTTTCGAAACTCTGACACAGTTCTTCATACAGAAAAATATTGGAAATTGCAATGTTTTTTTTTTTTTAAATCCATATTTTCCACCAAAAAATATATATCAAGGTGAACCAAAAACAAAACTGTTAAGAATAGATGTGATAATTAAAACTTAATTTAGAACAATATAGGGTTTTTGCCACTCTACAGAGAGTCTTAAACTTATGGTAAAAAACATCTTTTTGTTTAAACCTGTATATTATAAACGTACGTGTATTTTTTAGTAATTTTTAAAATGTGAGCGATTCCCTAATAATTTATCTACAATATTCTTTAATATTCGTTTAAATCCGACATCAAATAAAAAAGTTATTTGCGATTGAAATTCATCGAAAATTTGTGTGGATCGATTATTTTGCACGTGAGTGTATATCTCATAATGTTTCCAAAAAATGTTCGCAGTAAATAAAATATCGAAAACCCAAAATTTTACAAAGAAATCTTGTTGTTGCGCCACTGCTTATATTCAAGTTGAAATTGCAATTAAACATTTCTCGCTGACCATGAACCTCACGAAATACCGGAACGACAGCGCGCTCTTTTTTGTTCCTTGCTTTTGACCATCCTCGTGCCGAACCCGTAGTAAATAAATAAAAAAAAATAAAACGTTATAAGGTTCCTGTTTTTTTTCGCCAAGAGAAAGGAACACGCGAATCTGCGGTGTGCTCGTTAGTTTCTGGTTTGTTTATTTGAGACAAAAAAAAACATCACCAGAAAACTTGACTCTTTGGGAATAATTAACAAAAAGATTTGTACCCAAGTCGATTCCGTTAGCGCATCTTTGCATACCTGCTTCATATGGTTGGACATCATTACCGAACGAAAAAACGTGCCTTTTTACAGTTTATTATTATTTTAATAACTGTATTTGCAACGTTGTAAAAAAAACCGTAGCATTTATTAGTCACACAAAATGTATGGTTTTTGTAAATTATTTATTAAGTTTGATTCACTTATTACATACTTTAAATTAATTTTATTTAATATAGCGACCTCTATACAATCATAGAGTAACCAAAACAGGTGTCAGGATTCTGTTTTACACTTGATTAATTGTATAATTTGTCATTAAATTAAAAAGATTTTATTTCTTAGCTTAAAATCAAGTACAGTTGAAACAAGATGATTGGCCTAATATTGTCAAGGCTAAAACTAACATTAAACTAAATATTAATCTTTCTCTAAACAAGCAGATCTTATTCTTGCCTGTTAAATGTTAAGAATGACTTTAAATAAAATAATCTTATTCTTAATTTAAGACTAACAATCGATTAGACCAAATTTTGGAACATTCCCTCTATTCTGTTCTTAAAGATATAAAACTTTACTGGATATAAATATAATTATATTTATTCTAAGATTAGTAAATATTGGTACGACTGGTTTATTCTTAAAAATATCCCCCACTCACGAAAGTGTCCGACATTTTGGAAGATTGTTTCTTTTGTTAGTTAATATTTGTTTTGGAATGAACGAGCTGATAAATTAGTGGAATTTGATACAATTAACCACCAAATGTATGTGTAGGTAAGAATTATTACATAATTATATTTAAGTATTGAATTTCAGATGTTGGAGTGATATTAGGTTGGCCGAAGAATTACATAAAAAACCATTAGGTATATTTTACCTCTAGATTATAGGTACGAATAAAAATTTTGGTTAAACAGGCCAATATAGCCAAAAAATTTGTCTCGCAAACAAAATCAACGTGTCTGAAGGTTTGAAAAAGTCATAGGTATTTGAAACATTGTAAAAAGTTATGAAATAAAGACAATGCTATCATTTTTGTCAGGTTAAGTTAAGCAATAATTGTTTTAAATATTATCCTTTCTTTCTTTAACTTTTGCTCGACTTTAAAGGTAAGAACAGGTATATACATTGTAATATTGTAATTATTTTAAAAACTGTTTATTAATAAATGGAATCCAAAATATTTAAACAAATAAAAAAATCTTTAAACTAAATAGAAAATTTTTAAAATTAAAATATATTTACAAATAAGTTCACTTGATTTTCTTGGTAGATTGTCTATAACAAAGAAAACCTGTATTTTTGCCATTATTAATTTATTTTATTCGCAACTGCCCCAATTTTGCCCTTATCAATTAAACATTCTACTAAATTCTTTGGCGGTATTTTGTCTGTAATAAGAGTTTTAAAATTTGTAAAATTGAAAATGCACCTATACTTACACCATTGAGTATTACTCAATGCTTACACATTTAAATTTAACAACCATTTGGTATTATTATTATTTTTTATGTATAACACACTTAACTATTAAAACTATAGAAATTACAATGGACTTATTTTAAAAATATGTCGTTAACCAAAGGATAATAAAAGGTTTATGTAAGTTTTATATACAGAAAAGAGTTGGCAATTTAATGGTCCCATTCTTGTATGGTAAAATATACAAATATTTGGTTGAAAAGGGCCATTGCAAAAGTCTGCGACTAAAAACCTGTTGCTAACTTCAGCCCGTGACTAAAACGCCATAAAGCCGCAACTTGTCAATATTATAACGTCACTTAGTGTCATGGAAACATGTACGATAATGGTCGTTTTAAAGGTACAGTGGAAAAAGTACTATTAATAACAATATTTTAATTTTATTTTAGTTTAGCAAAAAGTCAAGATATTCGAACTTTTAGTACTTGTGACGCTATAAAATTTAAAAAATGCAACCGTTACTTTACACCTTATGGTATAAACACATAAAAAACAGTAATAAAATTAATAAAATTGTTGTTTTTCTAATTTTTAATGATTTTATGATTATTTTGCTATTTTTTTTAGTAATAGACATGTTAGAAAACTTTTGTAGTTTATTGCTTGAAAAAAAGAATAAAAATTATTTTTTGGTGTATTGACCCGCCCACAAGAGTCATAAATTAAATAACAAATTGTTTTGTTTCTATTAACAGAACTTACTCATGTTAAATTTCGTAATCTTTGTCTGAAAGAAATTGGTAGAATATCGAACACAGTATCCCTAATAAGTGGTTTTTAATATTAGATACGTAAAAACGTGTGACATATTAAGACAAACACTACTAAATAATTTATTTTTAGATATTTTATAGCATTTTTAACTAAACCAATTTAAACAAAAGCATAACAAATTAATACATTTTATGTAGCAACGGATATATAAACAATTCAAAAAACTTAAATCTTACCTTATTTAGTGTTAAAAATTCCAAAAAAATAAACCATAGAGCAGCACTGTTCACAAATGTCACGTTTTTAATGAGCAGAAGAATTATCTTCAAAAAATTGTTCACTATTCACTTGACCTAGTAGCGACCCTTCAAATAAATACTTTGGCGGTATTTTGTCTGTACTAAGAGTTTTAAAATTTGTAAAATTGAAAATGCACCTACTTACACATTTAAATTTAACAACCATTTGGTATTATTATTATTTTTTATGTATAACACACTATTAAAACTATAGGAATTACAATGGACTCATTTTAAAAATATGTCGTTAACCAAAGGATAATTGAAGGTTTATGTAAGTTTTATATACAGAAAACAGTTGGCTTTAATGGTCCCATTCTTGTATGGTAAAATATACAAATATTTGGCTGAAAAGGGCCATTGCAAAAGCCTGCGACTAAAAACCTGTTGCTAACTTCAGCCCGTGACTAAAACGCCATAAAGCCGCAACTAGTCAACGTGTATTTATAACGTCACTTAGTGTCATGGAAACATGTACCTACGATAATGGTCGTTTTAAAGGTGAGAGTGAAAAAAATACTATTAATATTAATATTTTAATTTTATTTTAGTTTAGCAAAAAATCAACATATTCGAACTTTTAGTACTTGTGACGCTATAAAATTAAAAAAATGCAACCGTTACTTTACACCTTATGGTATAAACACATAAAAAAATTAATAAAATTAATGAAATTGTTGTTTTTCTAATTTTTAATGATTTTATGATTATTTTGCTATTTTTTTTATTAATAGACATGTTAGAAAACTTTTGTAGTTTATTGCTTGAAAAAAGAATAAAAATTATTTTTTTGGTGTATTGACCCGCCCACAAGAGTCATAAATTAAATAACAAATTGTTTTGTTTCTATTAACAGAACTTACTCATGTTAAATTTCGTAATCTTTGTCTGAAGGAAATAAGGGGTTTTTAATATCAGATACGTAAAAACGTGTGACATATTAAGACAAACACTACTAAATAATTTATTTTTAGATATTCTATAGCATTTTTAACTTAACCAATTTATACAAAAGCATAGCAAATTAATACATTTTATGTAGCAACGGATATATAAACAATACAAAAAACTTAAAACTTACCTTATTTAGTGTTAAAAATTCCAAAAAAAATAAACCATAGAGCAGCACTTTTCACAAATGTCACGTTTTTAATAAGCAGAAGAATAATATATATATAATAAATGATCACTATTCACTTGACCTAGTAGCGACCCTTCAAATAAAAACTTTGGCGGTATTTTGTCTGTAATAAGAGTTTTAAAATTTGTAAAATTGAAAATGCACCTACTTACACATTTAAATTTAACAACCATTTGGTATTATTATTATTTTTTATGTATAACACACTATTAAAACTATAGGAATTACAATGGACTCATTTTAAAAATATGTCGTTAACCAAAGGATAATTAAAGGTTTATGTAAGTTTTATATACAGAAAACAGTTGGCACTTTAATGGTCCCATTCTTGTATGGTAAAATACACAAATATTTGCCTGAAAAGGGCCATTGCAAAAGCCTGCGACTAAAAACCTGTTGCCAACTTCAGCCCGTGACTAAAACGCCATAAAACCACAACTTGTCAATGTTATAACGTCACTTAGTGTCATGGTAACATGTAAGATAATGGTCGTTTTAAAGGTGAGAGTGGAAAAAATACTATTAATATTAATATTTTAATTTTATTTTAGTTTAGCAAAAAGTCAACATATTCGAACTTTTAGTACTTGTGACGCTATAAAATTAAAAAAACGCAACCGTTACTTTACACCTTATGGTATAAACACATAAAAAAATTAATAAAATTAATGAAATTGTTGTTTTTCTAATTTTTAATGATTTTATGATTATTTTGCTATTTTTTTTATTAATAGACATGTTAGAAAACTTTTGTAGTTTATTGCTTGAAAAAAGAATAAAAATTATTTTTTTGGTGTATTGACCCGCCCACAAGAGTCATAAATTAAATAACAAATTGTTTTGTTTCTATTAACAGAACTTACTCATGTTAAATTTCGTAATCTTTGTCTGAAAGAAATTGATAGAATATCGAACACAGTATCCCTAATATCAGATACGTAAAAACTGACGTGACATATTAAGACAAACACTACTAAATAATTTATTTTTTAGATATTTTATAGAATTTTTAACTTAACCAATTTATACAAAAGCATAACAAATTAATACATTTTATGTAGCAACGGATATATAAACAATTCAAAAAACTTAAATCTTACCTTATTTAGTGTTAAAAATTCCAAAAAAATAAACCATAGAGCAGCACTGTTCACAAATGTCACGTTTTTAATGAGCAGAAGAATTATCTTCAAAAAATTGTTCACTATTCACTTGACCTAGTAGCGACCCTTCAAATAAATACTTTGGCGGTATTTTGTCTGTAATAAGAGTTTTAAAATTTGTAAAATTGAAAATGCACCTACTTACACATTTAAATTTAACAACTATTTGGTATTATTATTATTTTTTATGTATAACACACTATTAAAACTATAGGAATTACAATGGACTCATTTTAAAAATATGTCGTTAACCAAAGGATAATTAAAGGTTTATGTAAGTTTTATATACAGAAAACAGTTGGCACTTTAATGGTCCCATTCTTGTATGGTAAAATATACAAATATTTGCCCTGAAAAGGGCCATTGCAAAAGCCTGCGACTAAAAACTGTTGCCAACTTCAGCCCGTGACTAAAACGCCATAAAACCACAACTTGTCAATGTTATAACGTCACTTAGTGTCATGGTAACATGTAAGATAATGGTCGTTTTAAAGGTGAGAGTGGAAAAAATACTATTAATATTAATATTTTAATTTTATTTTAGTTTAGCAAAAAGTCAACATATTCGAACTTTTAGTACTTGTGACGCTATAAAATTAAAAAAACGCAACCGTTACTTTACACCTTATGGTATAAACACATAAAAAAATTAATAAAATTAATGAAATTGTTGTTTTTCTAATTTTTAATGATTTTTATGATTATTTTGCTATTTTTTATTAATAGACGTGTTAGAAAACTTTGTAGTTTATTGCTTGAAAAAACAATAAAAATTATTTTTTGGTGTATTGACCCGCCCACAAGAGTCATAAATTAAATAACAAATTGTTTTGTTTCTATTAACAGAACTTACTCATGTTAAATTTCGTAATCTTTGTCTGAAGGAAATAAGGGGTTTTTAATATAAGATACGTAAAAACGTGTGACATATTAAGACAAACACTACTAAAAAATTTATTTTTAGATATTTTATAGCATTTTTAACTAAACCAATTTAAACAAAAGCATAACAAATTAATACATTTTATGTAGCAACGGATATATAAACAATACAAAAAAACTTAAATCTTACCTTATTTAGTGTTAAAAATTCCAAAAAAATAAACCATAGAGCAGCACTGATCACAAATGTCACGTTTTTAATAAGCAGAAGAATAATCTTCAAAAAATGTTCACTTAGTGAACTTCACTATTCACTTGACCTAGTAGCGACGGGAGCACACAAAATCAGAACAAATACGCTTGCAGAAGCATCTTCGGCAGGAACGTGAAGACTTGATACTCGATTCCTGAGCGCTTCGAGAGTCTTTCTCTCGAACTTACCACTGACTTACTGACTGCTGGCCGGGCAACGGCAACAAGTGGCTGTCTTAACGGACCTTACCTACAGGTGAAATGCGGACGGTAGGGACCCAGCATCGGCAGAAATCGAACGCGGGTAATTTTAAGACGGTGTCAAAAAGATTTTTTTTTTACATTAAATTATAAGGTTTTAATTGTGGTTTTGGACATTTTTAATTTTTGGAATTCTAAAATATGTTTTGAAATTCTTCTGAAGTTCTTGATTTTGACTTTCTTTTATATAAATATGTTTTTGGCCTTTGAATTAAAAAATGCTATTATAAAATGTGATTTTGTTCTGGTTTTAACATTCTTAAATAGGTTTTGTTATTTTAAAATGAGTGATTTTGACGTTCTAAACATTTTAATCAGTTTTAATATGTGTTTTATTTTGACTTTATTTTATATTTAATTTAATTTAAAAAAATGCGTTTATAAAATTTTGAAATATATTTTATCATTCCATAATATGTTTAAGATTATAAAATGTGATTTTGACATTTTAAATAGTTTGTTGTCGTTTTAAAATAAGTGATTTTGACGATTTAAAAAATTCCAAACATTTTATACTTAAGTTTTAATTTTGGTTATGACTTTCTTTTATATGTTTTTGGCATTTAAATTAAAACATGCGTTTATAACATTTTTCAATAGATTTTTATCATTCTCTAAGATTATAAAATGTGATTTTGACATTATAAATTCTGGTTTTAACATTCTTCAATAGGTTTTGTTATTTTAAAATGAGTGATTTTGACGGTCTAAACATTTTAAGCAGTTTTAATATAATGTGTTTTTATTTTGACTTTCTTTTATATGATGTAGCATTTAATTTAAAAAATACGTTAATATAATTTTTAAATATATTTTAAGCAGTTTTAATATAATGTGTTTTTATTTTGATTTTTTTTATATGATGTAGCATTTAATTTAATGCGTTTATCATTTTTAAATATATTTTATCATTCCATAATGTGTTTAAGATTATAACATGTGATTTTAACATTCTAAACTCTGGTTTTAACAGACTTAAATAGGTTTCTGTCGTTTAAAAATGAGTGATTTTGACGATTTAAAAAAGTCCAAACATTCGAAGCAGTTTTAATATTATGTGTTTTTGATTTTGATTTTGACTTTCTTTCATATGTTGTTGCTATTTGAATTACAAAAAGGGTTTTAATGTTTTTATCATTGTATAATTTGTCTAAGATTATAAAATGTGATTTTGACATTCTAATTTGTTGTCGTTTTAAAATGAGTGATTGTGCTTTCTTTTATATGTTTTTGGCATTTGAATTAAAACATGCGTTTATAACATTTTTAAATAGATTTTATCATTCTTTAGTTTGTCTAAGATTATAAAATGTAATTTTGACATTCTAAATTCCGGTTTTAACATTATTAAATGGGTTTTGTTATTTTAAAGTGATTGATTTTGACGGTGTAAACATTTTAAGCAGTTTTCATATAATTTGTTTCTATTTTGACTTTCTTTTATATGATATAGTTAGCACTTAATTTAAAAAATGCGTTTATATCATTTTTAAATATATTTTATCATTCCATAATTTGTTGTAATTATAAAATGTGATTTTGACATTCTAAATTCTGGTTTTAACAATCTTAAATAGTTTGCTGTCGTTTTAAAATGAGTGATTTTGACGATTTAAAAAAATTCCAAAGATTTTATGCTTAAATTTTAATTTTGATTGTGACTTTTTTTAATATGTTCTTGGCATTTAAATTAAAACATGCCTTTATAACATTTTTAAATAGATTTTTATCATTCTATAACTTGTTTAAGATTATAAATCGTGATTTTGACATTCTAAATTCTGGTTTTAACATTCTTAAATAGGTTGTGTTATTTTAAAATGAGTGATTTTGACTGTCTAAACATTTTAAGTAGTTTTCATATAATTTGTTTTTATTTTGACTTTTATGCTTAAATTTTAATTTTGATTGTGACTTTCTTTTATATGTTTTTGGCATTTGAATTAAAAAATGAATTAAATAGATTTTTATCATTCTATAACTTGTTTAAAATTATAAAATGTGATTTTGACATTCTAAATTCTGGTTTTAACATTCTTAAATAGGTTGTGTTATTTTAAAATGATTTTGACGGTCTAAACATTTTAAGCAGTTTTAATATAATGTGTTTTTATTTTGACTTTTTTATATGATGTAGCATTTAATTTAAAAACTGCGTTTATATAATTTTTAAATATATTTCATCATTTCATAGTGTGTTTAAGATTATAAAATGTGATTTTGACATTCTAAATTCTGGTTTTAACAATCTTAAATAGTTTGCTGTCGTTTTAAAATAAGTGATTTTGACGACATAAAAAAATTCCAAACATGTTATGCTTAAATTTTAATTTTGATTGTGACTTTCTTTTATATGTTTTTGGCTTTTGAATTAAAACATGAGTTTATAACATTTTTAAATAGATTTTTATCATTCTATAACTTGTTTAAAATTATAAAATGTGATTTTGACATTCTAAATTCTGGTTTTAACATTCTTAAATAGGTTGTGTTATTTTAAAATGAGTGATTTTGACGGTCTAAACATTTTAAGCAGTTTTAATATTATATGTTTTTATTTTGACTTTCTTTTATATGATGTATTTAGGATTAAATTTAAAAAATGCGTTTATATAATTTTTAAATATATTTTATCATTTTATACTGAGTTTAAGATTATAAAATTTGATTTTGACATTCTAAATTTCGGTTTTAACAATCTTAAATAGTTTTTTGTCGTCTTAAAATAAGTGATTTTGACGATTTAAAAAAAGTCCAATGATTTTGATTTTGACTTTCTTTCATATGTTGTTGGTAATTAAATTACAAAAAGGGTTTTAATGTTTTAAATGTGTTTTTTAACATTTCTAATGTTTGGCATTCTAAAATATTTTTTGATATTCTATTCTTTTAAAAATGTACCTACTCGTTTTTCATGTGAGGTGATTTTGACATTCTTGTAGAACACACAGTAAAAACACATTTTTACATTCTGAAATATATTTTTAATTTTTTTTCTATTCCCACCATGACACCAAGTGATCTTTTAAATACACATTGACAATCTATGTCACAGAATTTGTGACTTTATGGGGTTTTAGTCACAGGCTGAAGTTAGCTTTAAGATAGTTGACTGTTGTCAAATGTCAAACAATAATACTAAATGTGGTTTGTTAGTCTATTTTCAAGGGAGAAATTTCGATTTTTACAGAAAATCCGGTAAAACAAACCCAACACCAATTTGGTTACTTAACTTTTATACAAATATTTAAATTAATTGCAAATACATTATTTTTAAATGTAACTGCTTTATAAACTTTTCTAGACACTTATTTTATTAAACACTAGCTTGCAAGCTTTGCTCGTAATTAATTATTAATTTATTGCGTTTATCTAACTTGATAGGTACATAATATACTATTTTACATACAATTTTAAAAAAATCTTGACATTCTTAAGTAATTTTAACATTCTTATGCTTGGATATTTCATAAAATTTGTTTTTAACATGTCTAAATATGTTAAGCATTTAGAAAAATGTTACCTACTAAAGTTTTAATTGAAATCTTACTTAATTTTACTTCTGTGAGGATTTCTTTATGCCATGTTTCTGTAGGGTTGCTGGAAGTTTTTATTAGAAGCGTATTTTGCACTTAAGAAACACCCCGTATATAATATATAACGACATTCTTAAAGAAATACTGTTTTAAATAACAGTTTTTGTTTAAGATTGACGTTTATCAGTAGGCAACCCACGTTACATGTAAAACGGCAGAAAGCGCCACCTAAACACAGAAAGTGCAATTTATCAGATTATAAGGTTAAATTTATAACCTAAAAATGTAATATCTTTATTTATTTAATAATAATGTTAATAACAATAATAATTTAAAGTTTAAACATTATGTTTTCAATCAGACGAATATTGATCCGAACAAACGTTCTTAATGTGCAAGTGAAACATTTAAGGGAAACAAAAAAAGACCCAGGGATAAAAAGAGTAAGAAAAGTACTGACACAACCTGGAGAAAACGAAGAAATCGATGATTTCGACGAATTCGAAACCGATTTTATGGAATTGCACAAAACACACAGACAACACTCAGAAGAAATAGAAAATAGACGGGAACTATTGAAATACCACATCGTCAAGCAAAAATATTTCAAAGAGAAGCATCCGAACTTTCTAACTTGGCACGATAAAGAACAAATCAAGTACCTTTATAATTCCAATCCCGAGGAATGGACTGTGGATAAATTGTCAGAGGGTTTTCCAGCATTGCCCGAAGTTATAGCAGTGAGTATAAATTTCAAAATTTTTTATCCGATCAGAACTTAAACGTGCTACTACGACATTTTACACATGTTAGATCAATCCTTTAAAATCTAAAACAAGTTTTTATATTATAAAATGTAATTAATATTCTGATTGCAAAATGTTTTAAACTGCGAAAAACAGGCATAAAAATTGACTGTACGAAAATATTTTTTTAGAAAATAGTAAAAACTAAATGGATGAAGAAAAATCAAAATAAAATCACCAATCACGACAAGGTTGTGCAAGAAAACTGGAGGTTGTTTAAAAAAGGTAAACTGGGAGAATTACCTGATGATTTAAGGGACCACTTGAGAAAATTTACCAACAGAGCTTTGAATTTAAAACCTTTTGAAGCTCAGCAAAACAAAATTTTGATAGAAAGTCAAAAGAAAATCGGTGGGGAATTTTCAGAGATCATAACTTCCTATGAAAAATTAAAAAACAAAGATGCAAATACAAATAAAAATGTGCTTTTGGAAGAGGTGGAAAGCAGTAAACCCAAAGGTGATAAGCAACTGGCAACACTGCACAATCTACAAAAAAGGATTGAAGGTGAAATCGAAGCAAATAAAGATGTTGCCAAAGAAGACTTAATTTTAGTGCAAGGTTTAAAACCTAAAGAATCAGTAGGTATAGAAACGATAAAGCTGAAACAATCTGATATAAGTATAGCGCAAAATAAATATACATCTGTAAGTACAGTAACCAAAACTGTAAGGGACTACAGTCATCTAATATATCCCGAAAAAATTGTAATAACGAAAGAACTGAAAAAAAAGAATGGCCTATATAAACTAAATGATTGTTTTTATGATGAATATGGTGATTTTTTGTATAGAGTTCCAGGAATGGACTAATAAAGGTTGAAAATAGTTGTATTTGTCTTTTATTTAAACAATATCAGTTCTAAAATGACTAACTTAAGTTTGCAATATCTAATAAAATACATTCAACAAAAAATTTCAATAAAACAAAAAAAAAACTGGGATAGAATAAAATAGGTAAGCTACTTACCTTTAATACTCACTTAAACATCACATTTTGTACAAAAAAAATTCACTAATAAATAACCACATATACAGTCAAAAAAACTCTTTATCGACAAGAAACATTTCTTAAAATAATTCTGTATAAATATAATATATTGTATAAAAAATGCTAGCCTCTAGTTGGGATACATACAAAATTTGACTTAAATGATGTCCTAGGCCACAAATAAACCTCTGCAAAATTAAGTTAAATATAAAATTTAAAAACCTTAATTTACACATATAGGTAATATGAGCAGCAAATTTCAACAAGTTTAAATTCAAATTTTTCAAACAGTTTAACCTTATATTAGTTTATAAATTATCCTGTAAGAAATGTTGTATTTCAATAAAAATTTCCCGAATAATTAAAAATAGGAACCGTTAGAATGTAAAAACTTGGGAATAGAAAAAGTAAAAAAAAATTGTAAAACTCACTTTCTGTTTGTGTTCTATTTATTGAAAGAACTGAAAAAAAGAATGGCCTATATAAACTAAACGATTGTTTTATGATGAATATGGTGATTTTTTGTATAGAGCTTCAGGAATGGACTAATAAAAGTTGTTAATAGTTGCATTTATTTTATTTAAACAATATCAGTTTTAAAATGACTAGCTTAAGTTTACAATATCTAATAAAATACATTCAACAAAAAATGTCAAAAAACAAAAAAATTGGGTAGAATAATTATAGGTAAGCAACTAATCTTTAATACTCACTTAAACGTCACATTTTGTACAAAAACAATTCACTAATAAATAAAGACATATGCAGTCAAAACTCTTTATCTACAAGAAACATTTCTTAAAATAAATGTAGGGTTTTTGCAGACATCATGTATAAATATAATATATTGTATTAAAAAATGCTATCCTCTAGTTGGGTTACATACAAAATGCGACTTAAATGATGTCCTAGGCCACAAATAAACCTCCGCAAAATTAAGTTAAATATAAAATTTAAAAACCTTAATTTACACATATAGGTAATAAGAGCAGCCAATTTCAACAAGTTTAATCAAATTTTTCAAATAGTTTAACCTTATATTAGTTTATAGATTATCCTGTAAGAAATGTTGTGTTGCAATAAAAATCTCCTGAATAATTAAAAATAGGAACCCTGAGAATGTGAAAACTTGGGAAAAGAAAAAGTAAAAAAAATTGTAAAAATCACTTTCTGTTTGTGTTCTGTTTAACGAAATAACTGAAAAAAAGAATGGCCTACATAAACTAAACGATTGTTTTATGATGAATATGGTGATTTTTTGTATAGAGCTTCAGGAATGGACTAATAAAAGTTGTTAATAGTTGCATTTGTCTTTTATTTAAACAATATCAGTTTTAAAATGACTAGCTTAAGTTTACAATATCTAATAAAATACATTCAACAAAAAATGTCAAAAAACAAAAAAATTGGGTAGAATAATTATAGGCAAGCAACTAATCTTTAATACTCACTTAAACGTCACATTTTGTACAAAAACAATTCACTAATAAATAACAACATATGCAGTAAAAACTACAAGAAACATTTCTTAAAATAAATGGAGGGTTTTTGAAGACATCCTGTATAAATATAATATATTGTATTAAAAAATGCTAGCCTCTAGTTGGGATACATACAAAATGCGACTTAAATGATGTCCTAGGCCACAAATAAACCTCCGCAAAATTAAGTTAAATATAAAATTTAAAAACCTTAATTTACACATATAGGTAATAAGAGCAGCCAATTTCAACAAGTTTAATCAAATTTTTCAAATAGTTTAACCTTATATTAGTTTATAAATTATCCTGTAAGAAATGTTGTGTTGCAGTAAAAATCTCCTGAATAATTAAAAACAGGTACTTTAGAATGTGAAACTTGGGAATAGATAAAGTTAAAAAAAATTTTGTAAAACTCACTTTCTGTTCTGTTTAAAAAATACTATTTAAGGCAGTTTTCGTCTATTCGAGGTTGATTCCTTGTATCCACGAACTCAGATCCGTCGCCTCTTCGCAATCGACGATTATCTCGTCGTCCGCGCTTCCGGTTTCCGGTGTCATCACTATTTGGGCCACTGTGCGGCCAGTCAGGTACGCACCGTGCACGGTCGAGTAGAAGTTCGTGTGGGTGTGCTCGCCAGCGAACAGCACCACAGGCTACAAGATAACACGTTTTTTTTGTTTAATAAAATGACATTGTAATTATTTTGTGCGTATTAAAGTTGCGCAAAATAGTTTTTTGTTATTTTAACACGGGTGATTTTGACGATTTAAAAAAGACTTCCTTTCATATGATGTTTTGGGCAATAAATTTTAAAAATGCGTTTATAACATTTTTAAATGTATTTTATCACTCTATAATGTGTTTAATATAATAAAATGTGATTTTGACATTCTAAATTCTGGGTTTAATATTCTTAAATAGGTTTTGTAATTTTAAAATGAGTGATTTTGACGATTTTAAAAGAGTCCTTTTAAGCAGTTTTAATATTATGTGTTTTTGATTTTGATTTTGACTTTCTTTCTTATGTTTTGGGCATTTAATTTAAAAAAATGCGTACCTATGTAACATTTTTCAAAAGATTTTATCATTCGATAATGTGTTTAAGATTATAAAATGTAACTTTGACATTCTAAATTCTGGTTTTAACAATCTTAAATAGGTTTTGTCATTTAAATTTAAAATTAGTGATTTTGACGATTTAAAAAAAGGTCGAAACATTTTGAGCAGTTTTAATATTATCTGTTTTTGATTTTGTTTTCGACATTCTTTTATATGTTTTTGGCATTTAATTTTAAAAAATGCGTTTAAATGGATTTTATTATTCTATGATGTGCTTACAATAATATGTGTTTTTGTTTTGTCATTTTAAAACGAGTGATTTTGATTAATTAAAAACAAAAACGTTTTAAGCAGATTTAATATTTTGTTTTTTGATTTTGATTTTCTTTCATATAATTTTTTTGACATTTGTTAAATGCGTTTATAACATTTTTAAATAAGTTTTATCATTCTATAATGTGTTTAGGATTATAAAATATGATGACATTCTTAAATAGATTTTTTTGTCATTTTAAAATGATTTTGACTATTTAAAAAAAGTCCAAATATTTTAAGTGGTTTTAATATTATGTTTTTGATTTTGATTTGGACTTTCTTTCATATGATTTTTTTGCATTTAATTTAAAAAATGCGTTTATAACATTTTTAAACGAATTTTATTCCTCTTTAACATATTTAAGATTATAAAATGTGATTTTGACATTCTAAATTATGGTTTTAACAATAACATTTTTAAATTGATTTTATCATTCCATAATGTGTTTAAGATTATAAAATGTGATTTTGACATTTTTTATTCTGGTTTTAACAATCTTAAATAGGTTTTCTCATTTTAAAATGAGTAATTTTGACGATTTAAAAAAGTACAAAAATTTTAAGCAGTTTTAATATTATGTATTTTTGATTTTGACACTCTTTCATATGTTTTTCGCATTTGATTTAAAAAATGCGTTTATAACATTTTTAAATTAATTCTTAATTTTCGTTTTTACATTCTTAAATAGGTGTTGCCATTTTAAAATGAGTGATTCTGACGATTTAAAGAGTCTAAACATTTTAAGCAGTTTTAATATGTTTTTGATTTTGACTTTCTTTTATGATGATGTTTTTGGAATTTGTTTTAAAAAATGAGTTTATAACATTTTTAAATATATTTTATCATCTTATAATGTGTTTAAGATTATAAAATGTGATTTTGACATTCTAAATTTCGGTTTTAATATTCTTAAATAAGTTTTGTCATTTTAAAATAAATGATTTGACGATTCAAAAAAGAGTCATTTTAAGCATTTTTAATATTGTTTCTTTTGGGCATTTAATTTAAAAAATGCGTTTATAACATTTTTAAATAGATGTTATCGTTCTATAATTTGTTTCAAGATTATAAAAAGTAATTTTAATTATTCTAAATAAGTTTTTTGTCCTTCTTTAATGTGTTTTAATGTCCTTAATTGATTTTACACATTTTTAAGTACGTGTTTAACATTCTAAAAGATTATATGACTTTAAACAGTGATTTTGACATTCTTAAAATATGAAAATGGTTTTTTTTATTAAAAATTTACCCATTTTCTTACCTTCGATTCATCGTCGTCCATATAAAGGGGTTGTGCAAGACATTCAATGTCGATTTGTGAAGCTCCCACAGCTATCGCGGTGTAGGAACCTCTGGTATATGGTTGACTTGCCCAACTCGTGCTAAAATCATATTTCTATCTCTACAGTGTGACCCATTTAAAATATTTCCCCTGTAAAATCTTTATTTATTGTTCGATTTTAACCGAGTTTGTTTTAAAGTATAGATCATGATAAACTGTATTTTTGGAGCAAGAAACGCCATATTTGTACAAAATACAAGGCCTACTATGTCAGTTTTTAAGAGTAAATTTTTAAGAATTCATATTAGCGATTTTTTAAAACAAAATCCAAGCACGGCATGGATTCACCATCACTTAAAACGACCCTTTCCTAAATTTTATTGAAAAAAATTAAGTAGAAAAATGCACAATAATAACTACAAAAATTTATTTTGTCAAGTAATCCGTGAAAAAAACATTGAAATAAAATTAAACTTATAGTAATGGTACCATGTTACTACCCAGGTAGCATACTGACGTCTGCTGACATTTAAATGACGTCATTTCAACGGCATTTAAACGTCAGCAGACGTCAGTGTGCTACCTCCAAATATATTTTTGGAGTTATTATTGTGCATTTTTATACTTTATACTATTTTTCAATAAAATTTAGTAAAGGCTCGTTTTGAGGGGTGGTGAATCCAGTTCCGTGCTTAGATTTTGTTTAAAAAAATCGTTAATTTGAATTATTAAAAATTTACTCTTACCCCTTGTATTTTGTAAAAATATGGCGTTTTTTGCTTCAAAAATACAATTTATCAAGACCGGTAAAAATTGCACAATAAATAAAGATTTTACAGGGGTGAGTCGCAAACAAATGGGTCACACTGTATAAAAAAATGAAGTGCCGTGCGTTAGTGCTGCAAAAACTTGGAAATGGCTCAACCGATTTAGATATTTTTTTTTGGTTTGTTCGCCTCAATACAGGGGTGATTTAAATAAAAAAATACATTAGAAAAACCGGAAAATCGAAATTCGTATAACTTTGGATTAATTTGAATAGATGGCGTTCGTATAGTAAATTTAAAAGGAAACGACGTACACGTCATCGATGACGTCATAATGTATAAAACGAAGTCTGAAATTGAATATTGTAATGCATTTTAAATAATTTTAGTTGGCAGCAATTGCAATGTTGCCATGTTTAGATTAAAATTTTTCTTAATAAAATGACGCATAGAAAAAGAAATTGACGTTTTAGAGCTGTCAGTTGTGTTTTTGAATATTTCGTTTAATTCATGTATAATTTCGTTTATTTTGTTTGTTGTTTGTGTAATTTTATATCGTTTAAGGTAGTTGTCGTGCTTTAACCATACCATCAGAAAATTTCATATTTTTGTATACTTATTAAGGACATAACAATACAATTATCCTTAAAATTTGAAGTCAATTGACCGTCTATAACCCGAGATAAATTCAATTAAAAATTGGATAATTAACATGGATGGTATACGCTTTCTGTAGTTCTGTACCAGTTTCTTAGTTATAAAAAAAAACTAACTGTCAGAAGCTTTCAAAAAACTAAGTCTTTTAATGTATTTTTGCTGAATTTAAAAAAAAAAATAATTAAAAATTTTTGACCGTCCAATTGTTTATAAATAACCGTTTAAAGTTCAACAATTTGTAAAAAGTATACATCACTAGTGTCAGATAAAAACAACTTGGCAACGCTGTACGCGAGTATAGATATTATATATTATTTCCGCAGTAAATTCAAACAAACTGATTCAGTCTCCAATATATCTATTGGTTGAGCAAAAGCGACGTTGCCGGATTAAAACTTATGAAAATATTTGAAAGTATTACGTAATGGTAACGTCTCCAGGGTACAGTCTTGCGAAAAAATTATGAATCACTTAGCTACAAGCTCGTATACTTTTACGGTGCGTATAATCTAAAAATTTTTGACAATATTGTACCACGACAACTACCTTAAGTTTTCATTGCCCTTTTTGTGTTTGTTATATATCGTTTTTTTGTTTTTCCTATATTTAAAATGCCGAAGCATTTAAATAGGTAGTCGAAGTCAAGAGTTGGTATCATCCTTAATACGCTATTTTGAGGCAGAACGGGATAATAATGGACCTTTGTTACCTTTAACAGCTGTTAGAGAGGTAAATAGAATTATTATTAATTATATATTAGAATATTTAACAGAGTATATATATGTTGTATACATAAAATAAGAATATATATACCAGAAACTGACTTTAGATGGCAAAATTTCTGGGTTTTATAGCTGAAAATGTCTTTAAAAATGGCTAAAAACATATGGGTTATAAAAACTCTGATTTTTGACATTTTGTTATTCTAAGGTCCCAAATCTAGGGACCCTATGGTATTATTCATGTACTTTCACTTGATGCAATGATTTTAGCATCACATTGACAACCGCGCCCGATCAGCTGATTGATGACGTATACGTCATTTCCTTTTGAATTTATTTTAAATGTCTCAACACTATTTTTAAAAAATTTAACTTTACCAATTTAATCTAAATAATTTTTTAAAAAAATTATTTATGATTTAGCAATAAAATTTTAAATTAAAATTATTTAATAATTGATGAAACGGCGTGCCATAGTATTACTTACCAAACACACGTCTTTGGCTTCGGTATGTAGGGATCGCAGAGAAACTTCCTCAAAATGTTGGTGCACGTTTTCGCGACGACGTCGTTGTGCAGCGTCTCCATGTACTCGGCCTCCTTGCCGGAAATCCAGCCCAACATCAGCGTCTCCGTGATTTTCGAGAACGAGTAAATCTTCTTGAACCACGTCTTGCTGAAATCGTCGCGTCGCTCCGCCGACTCCGGCTCCCACAGCAGCAGCACCTCCGTGATGTTCGGTCTCAGAAACGGCCGGTCGTACTCCAATATTATTTTGTTTACCGTGCCGAAGAGCAGGCGATCTATCGCGTCGACCTTGTACGCGGGCAGACTCGGCTGAAACATCGCGTTGGCTTTGCTTTTGAGCACGCCCAGAGGAATCGTGCAAATCAGTTGGTCAGCGTGGAATATCTCCCCGTTCTCGCACGTAACTTCGACGTGCGACGCTTTCTCGCAACTCGACGCCTCCTCGATCACGGTTCGGTCGGAATCGTCCGAGTCGTAGCTGTAGTCTTTCGACTTGCCGCGCGACCATTTTATCGCGCTTACCGCGTGTTCCAGCAGAATTAAATCCGGCGGTATGGGCGCCGAAATCGGCTCCAAAATGGAACTGTAACCGTTCGGTAACGTTATATTGCCGCCTTGCAACTCCGTGTACGTCCCGATTTCCATCAAATCGATCTCACTCATGTCGTCGCAGCCCGATATGCACGTCTCGCGTTTTAATAAACAATCAAAAATCAACTTTCGCAGGTCTCTCTCGTGTTTGTCCTTGATTTTATCCAAGTATAAACTTATTTCTAGCTTGATGTGGTCGCCGACGCTTTCTATGCCGTCCGGCGGGAGGTATTGCGATATGAAGTACTCCTCGCACCGCTTGAGGAAGCAGATGTAGGCCTCGTATATCTCTTGCAGGGTCGCGAAAGGGACCTGTTTACCGCGCTCGGTGGTTGCCACCACCTCGTGCGGTTTCGGCATTGCCAGGATGTCGACGAGGCCGTTTTGCATTGCCAACTCGTAAACAGGATTACCTTAAAAAATAACACTATCTTAAAACTGTACCCTTAAGCTACAGTAGAAACCACCAATATATGAACGTGACTCATCGGGTGCCGAACATATCTCAGACATGCTAGCAGTAATGTTTTACTTGTCTTGTACATTCGATGCAGCGGTAAATGTACTCACACGTAGGTTTTTAAGCATCCGGTCTAAAATGCGCCATCTGTGATGTAAAACTGCCTAGGTGTTGGACAAAGATGGACATATGACGCGTGTCCTAGCTTGTTACTTATTTCAGTAGAGTTCGTGTTTTAGGCATTTATTTTATTTTATTACATAGTAAGGCAACCAACTTTACCATCGGCCATTTGTTTTTATATGTCATATGATCTTTGTTTTTGCATATCGTGTTTCTGCTGTGTGTTTACGGATTAATAATCGTTTTAAACGTTGTAGTGCTAGTGGTTTTTATTGCAATAATAACAATTATTGTTATTGCATGTTTATTGGACTTTATTGCAATTGTTATTGTACGTTTTTTGGACTTTAAATAAACGGTGTGTGTTTACGGATTAATAATCGTTTTAAACGTTGTAGTGGCAGTGGTTTATATTATGTAACACAGTTGGATGTCGTATAAAAATCCTTACCTAGAAATTCTAGGCTAGAATACAAAAATATTTTTATTATATAAATTTTGTACTAGTATTAGTTTAATACATTCTGAAGAAGCTACTGTGTAGCGAAACAATTATCAATATTTAATAAATTTCGTGAAACTAACGCAAGTTGTTTTTATATCCACACAATTTAAATATCTTTCACTTTGTACCTGACCTGCGTAAACATTTTTGTTTTTTGTCACCAATTCTGAAATATTTGCGTTTACAGTTAAAAGAATAGTATATACTATTCTTAGAATATATATTCTGTAACAAGTTTGACGGTTTCACGAGAGGGGAATATGCAATTCCAAACGTGTTTCAGACTATACTTTTTCTACGTTTTCAAAAAATAACATAGACAAAGAATTTAATTGGAAGAAAGTATGGTTGGATCGGTCTAAAAATTTGTTAGATATTAAAAACAGAAATGACGCCACGAGTGTACGTTCTGTCATCAGATGATAGAATATTTCATTAAAGTTAAAAGAAAAGTTTATTTATTAATTTGTTTCTAAGAAAATTACATTTTATTTAATTATCATAGATGTTAATTATTAAAATTTAACTTTAAAAGCAAATATATCATAAGTATAGCAACCAACATTACACTCAAGATTTTTTACAAACAGGACTGCACTGGACCGTGACCTTCGATAGATTGCTTCGTACGAATGTGTCGGATGAGTCACGTTCATATATTCGTGGTTTCTACTTTAGATATAACTTTCTTACGAATCTCTGTTTAAGTCTGTCAAGAAGAATGTCAATTAAAGCTATATATAAATGACTTAAGAATTCCAATTTAAGTTAGATTTAACCGTCTTAAGAATGTCAGTTTAATCTAGATGTAACTGTCATAAGAATGTTAATTTAAGCTAGATATAACTGTCTTAACTATGTCAACTTCTTAAGCTAAATTTCTGTCTTAAGAATGTCAATTAAAACTAGATACTTATAACTGTCTTAAAAATGTCAATTTAGACTAAATATAACTGTTTTAAGAATGTCAATTTAAGTTATATGTAACTGTCTTAAGAATGTTAACACGTTAACTGCCATTAGTTTTTTACAAGTAAGATCCGCTGAGCCACCATGTTTTTAGCTTTTAATCCTCAATAAAAATATTCCACAATTTCTATAGTACATTAGCTCAATTTTTTTTTAATATTTTGCCCCCTTCTACCCCCGTGCAACCCACAACATAACATAGAAGAAATAAATATTTGTTATTATTACCATTTTTTGTCCAGCATTATTTTGTTAATTTATTGTAATTTTTTCATTGACTCAATGGAAAAAAAATCTTTTTCTCATCGACATTTTTATTACGCACAAACTTAATTTTTGGCTCGATTTTTGACAAACATACTTTTGAATGAAGAGTTTGTCATCCTAAAAAATTTTAAACAAAAAAAGTCTCTACCGGTGTACATCAACTCCACGACAATCATTCTAACATATAAAACCCATGATACAACAAACCAATCATGTATCATGTATAAAACCCATGTTATGCATCCTTCTTTCATATACACATGGGTAAAATAATTTTATTGTGCGTATATACAAAATCATACACATGGCGCCATAGACCCAACTCGCGTGTATTTTTTTTCATACACATGGCAGTTAACGTGTTAATATCTGTCTTACGAATGTCAATTAAAACTAGAAACTGTCTTAAAAATGTCAATTTAAGCTTAATTTTCATGTATCCGTTTGTCCGTCATCCGTATGTCAGTTTTTCAATAAAATCGTCCGATAAGAAATGTTCATGCATACGTTTTTTAATGACGTTTAACGGATTGATTTTGCGACAAACAGAAATTAAGTGTCAGTATATTCACTTACTAAATTTACCTAATGCTTAATTGTCATAGTTACAATTATGTCAACAATTGTAACTTTAACAGTTAGCTGTCTAATAAATTTAAAGGTAGGTAAATATACCTTATAAAAAGAATATACTAGCCCTAATATCATATTAGTAATATGCATTAAAATGTATAGTTTTAAAAAAGCAGGTCCTTTTAGTTCTAGTTTTAATTTTTTTTTGTTTGTCCTTTCTTTTTTTCCGATATTCTTATTAAATAAAAACTTAACAGTAAAACATTATTCACATAACGAACGTAATATTTTCGTTTTACAATCTTATTGAAAAAATATAAAAATATTTGAAAATAAATTACCTTAAAATAACGTTAGGCGTCAAAAACAAATGTTTAGTGACGGATGAGTTAAAATTATTTAACCTTTTTCTGTCAGACGTACGAAGTTGAAACTTGACGGACCGATAAAATGTCATAATTTTCGAATTATAATTGGACCAATAAGAGCGCTCCCGGATGAACGGACTGACGGACAAACGGATACATGAAAATTAAGCTTTAGACTAAATATAACTGTTTTTAGAATGTCAATTTAAGTTAGATATAACTGTCTTAAGAATGTAAATTTAAGCTAGATATAACTGTCTTAAGATTGTTAATTTAAACTAAAAATAACTGTCTTAAGAATTTCAACTTAAGTTATATATACATAATTCTTAATAATGTCAATTTAAGTTAGATATAACTGCAGTTATATGTCTTAAGAATGTCAGTTTAAGCCAGATGTAACTGTCCTAAGAATGTCAATTTAAGCTAGATATAACCATTGAGTAAAATTACTCAATGATATAACTGTCTTAACTATGTCAACTTCTTAAGAATGTCAATTAAAGCTAGATATAAGTGACTTAAGAATGTCAATTTAAGCTAGATATTAACTGTCTTAAGAATGTTCATTTAAGCTTTTTATAAGAATGGCAGTTAAGGCTAAATATAACTGTTTTAGGAATGTCAATTTAACCTAGATATAACTGCCTTAAGAATGTTAATTTAAGCTAAAATTAACTGTCTTAAGAATGTCAATTTAGACTATATACAACTGTTTTCAGAATGTCAATTTAAGTTAGATATAACTGTCAATTTAAGCTAGATATAATTGCCTTAAAAATGTTAAGTTAAATTAAAATAACTGTCTTAAGAATGTCAATTTAAGTTACATATATATAACTGTCTTAAGAATGTAAATGTAAGTTAGATATAACTGTCTTAAGAATGTCAATTTAAGCTAGATATAATTGCCTTAAGAATGTTAAGTTAAATTAAAATAACTGTCTTAAGAAAATCAATTTAAGTTATATATAACTGTCTTAAGAATGTAAATTTAAGTTAGATATAACTGTCTTAAAAATGTCAGTTTAAGCCAGATGTAACTGTCCTAAGAATGTCAATTTAAGCTTGATATAACTTTCTTAACTATGTCAACTTCTTAAGCTAAATATAACTGTCTTCAGAATGTCAATTAAAACTAGATTTAACTGTCTTAAAAATTTAAGTTTTACCTACATATATATTACTGCCTTAAGAATGTTAATTTAAGCTAAAAATAACTGTCTTAAGAAAGTAAGTTTAGGCTAGATATAACTGTTTAAAAAATGCAAATTTAAGCTAAATATAACACTTTTAGGAATGTCAATTAAAGCTAGATATAACTGTCTTAAGAATGTTAATTTAAGTAAAAAATAACTGCCTTAAGAATGTCAGTTTAGACTAAATAGGTATAACTGTTTTAAGAATGTCAGTTTAAGCTACAGCTATATCTATATATATAACTGACTTAAGAATGTTAATTTAAACTAAAAATAACTGTAGTAAGAATGTCAGTTTAGGCTAAATATAACTGTTTTAAGAATGTCAATTTAAGTTAAATATAACTGACTTAAGAATGACAATTTAAGCTTAAGAATGTCAGTTTAGGCTATATATAACTGTAAATTTAAGTTAGATGTAACTGTCCTAAGAAATTAAGCTTTATATAACTGTCTTAAGAATCTCAATTTAAGCTATATTCTATATATATGTCTAATAAATGTCAATTAGATTTAAAAATGTCAAAATAGCTAGAATAAACATTTAAATATAGCTTAAGTTAATATTTCACAAATAGTTTTATCTAGACAAGTTTTTAACAATGTTTAGTTTAATTTTTTAAGTTCTTTTACATGAAATCATAACTATTCATGTGACAATGTCATGCATATAAAATAACATTACATAATGAAATGTAAACCAACTGAAACTTAATATTTAGTAAATTTAAGTTATAAAAAGAGCATAGAAAGAATTTGGTGTAAGAAATTTACAGACAACATAAATAATTAAGTATTTGCATAATGACCAAACCACGTTCTCTTACCTAAAACTCCATGTATCCAATTGGCCCCCAACTCGATTTTCTCACTGCCCAATTGGATTTGAACAACCCTTCCACCGATCCTGCTTCGTGCCTCCAAAATTTTAAAATCTTTGAATCCATTTTTCGATAAATGGTACGCCGCTGATAGGCCGGCTATGCCAGCTCCAATAATAAGTACTTTACATTTGTTTGATTCAACTTTTGCATCTTTTGATTCATTATTTTCCATATTTATGAAACTGCAAATGATTTTTTGGCCCCATCCGCTGCAAACGTCAAGAACTGTCAAACTTGGGATTTTGGTTGTTGAGGTTGGCACTTTTGTGAAGATAGGTTTGTATGTAAATTTGTGATTAGGTCGAAAATAATGACCTTTTTACTTAAAAATATTATATGAAACACGTACCTAATTCATATTTTTGAAAATATTATGATTGTATTTAGGTCTAGATAAAAAAAATCTTAATTTAATATTTGTGTTGGTAACACTGTTAACAGTTGTCATTTTTACTTCACACATGTTATTTAGTAACTTCAAAATTATGTAAAAAGCCATAATATTCTCCAAGTGATTAAATTTAAGTATTATACTGATCATGTTTTAAAACAACACCACCCAAATTACAATTGTTCATATGTGTTTTATCGTACGTGAAATTGAAAACATTAATTACCAAGTGAAATGACGTGTGAATAAACGTTTTATCTAATGCAAGTGAAATAATTAAAAAATGTCGCTAAACGATGATACCTTGCCTTCGGAAGGGAGAAAAATAAGGTTTAGACCTCCTGCCAAAGTTTTGTTTCGATCTGATAGCAAAATTGAGGACTTGCTAAAAAATGGTAAGGGTGATAGTGCAGATCAAGTTGATGGACCTAAGAAAGGTAAATATCCTTCAGTTTACTTTGAACTATTATGACAGTTTAAAACTGTCAAAATGTCATTACTTTGACAGGTATATAACCTCATTTTTTGTAACTTGTATTGATTCCTTATACTGAATCTTCAAATGTCTTTTTTTCATTTTAGATGCAAAAAATCCATCGCTCATGTCCTTTTTGCAAGTGGAGTTGACAAGGGATTACCTTTTGGAACATGACGAGGAAAGATTTTCAGCCCGAAGGGAAAAAATTTATTCCTTCATGAAAATTCCCAGAGAAGTTGAAAGATTCATGAGATATGGTTTTATGCAGTGTACAGACTCTTTCTTATTTGTATACACATTTCTGCCGATGAGGGTAATTTTGGCTCTTTGGGCTTTAATAACAAGACCATTTTCGAAATGTTTTGGGTAAAATTACTTTACTTTTAATTTTTTTTATCAAAACACTAGCTATATACCCGCGGCCATGTGTAAATATTTATATTGTGGTTCTGAGAAATGGTTTTAAGTGTAGGCAACCCAGATTACACGTGGTTGCGTTTTTTACGAATTTTGCAATTATCTCACAGGGACTTTGCATAGGAATTCCCTATATGCAAAAAATCACTTAAAAAATAACAATTTACAGTTCATTTCTTTTTTTATTTGGACTCGTGTTTTTTTATTAAGTTGGTAGCTTATGCCATCTTAATTTAATTTTATTTTTAAAGGCTTTGTTATCTATGGCGAAGATTATTATCCGCTAAAAATACTTTCTCTTCTGGGCCGTAAAGCAACCTATATTTAACTACTTTTTTATATAATTTTACTCATCTACACACCACCAAAGCCAAATTAATTGCATTTTAAACCACGAATTTTGACAACTCTACTTGACAACTGTTTAATGTAACCTACAATAATTTAAACATAACCACAATTACATTTATAACTAGTTTAGTTTGTTTTAATCAATGCAACCAATTTTGGTTCCAACCAAACCCCTAAATTTGCAACGTTGCCGCAGTCCAGATAAAAAAAATGAACTTTAGGTAAAATATTATCTTAACATTTAATTTTAGGTTAAAAAATCCAAACAAAAGATTGTTGACTCCAGCAGAAATTTGTGATTTATTGAAGGCTGTTATTTTAGTGTTATGTAGTATTATTATGTTTTATGTGGACACAAACATGTTGTACCATTTGATTAAGAGTCAGTCGGTTATTAAGTTATACATTTTTTACAATATGCTGGAAATTGGCGACAGATTATTTTCTGCATTTGGACAGGATACCATAGATTCCTTATTTTGGACAGCTACTGAACCCAGAGGAAAAAGGCGGGAACACTTGGGAGTCATTCCCCACCTGATTTTTGCCATTGTGTATGTCAGTATCCTTTTTAATGATAATGATGATAATTTTATCATAGAAATGATTTAATTTGATGGAAGGTTATTATCCAGTTATAAAATGTTTTTTAATTTTTTCATATTTTTCTATAATTTTGTATTGTTTTTGGTCATTATTTATTACTACAATTACAATTTTTTAATTTCAAGCTTTAGAAAATTTATAAAACTGAATTTTATTTTCTTTTTTTTAAATATTTATTTATACAGGGTGCTGTATAATAACACATTAACGGTTTACCACACTAAGAAGTTTATTTAAAGAATAGTCTTCTTGATTTAAACTCCAAATTTTTTGTCAAACTATCAGAAAATACATCTGGCAACCATGTTAAGTTTGATTGTGCTTAAACAACGCCCACCGCTTGGAATCTACAGGGTGTTATGTAATTAATGTAATATATTAAAATACTAAATACCCTTTGACATAAGGTGTAATGGAAAAATATTTAAAACAATATTTTCCCAAAAATACAGAAAAAATATAAATTAGAAGTTTTTTTTATATTTAGTTATGTAAAGTAGCTGCGCTTTGCCAGTTACTAAAAATTTTTCTTGCAAAAAATAAATGAAAACTCAATAAATGCCCTTCTGTAATTATTTACTCATCCAGCTATTAGCTATTAGCAATGATTAGAAAATTTAGTACCTATTTTAAAAACTCCATAACCATACATACAATTTATTTTTTCATCGTTTTTTTTCTTGCTGTTTACTTAGATGAAATTAGGACAAGTTCATAGATTCAACTTTAAACATTCAATTTGTGTAAATAAATACAAAAGCACTTCCCTTAGTTGAGATATTTACAATTTGAACACATAAACTAAAATTTGAAAGAAATGCACTAGAATCTGTCATAAAAGTTACCAGATTTTGTTTGAATTTACCTTCATTACAGTAATGACAATACACCATTAATAAAAACGCCAAATTAACAATTTGCATTGTTTAAACAAAATCAGGCAACTTTTTCTGACATAAACTGGAAACGCTGGTTGTTACCAACCATAACATAATAAATTAAATTAGGCAACCAGATTATCCTAAAGTTCCTAGTCGATCAGTGGCGTACTTTTTGATAGGATAAAGGTTATTATACATTATTTTTAGTCTTTAAAATTTAGAAAAAAAAGTTTCAGGTGCTTCTTTATGGACCCTAAGGAACTACCCATTTTATTATATTACATTAATTACATAACCCTGTACAATTGTATTTTTATTTATTATAGGTTTTTTTAATAATTAGAAAATTCTACCTTTTATGGTTTTCTTATATTTGTTGTCTGCTCTTCTTAAGACTTTTGCTGCATTCAACATCCAAATTTATTATAACCTGGCATATATAAAAAATCTGACATCTGTTAGACAGTTCCAACCTCTCTTTTTCTCAATTTAAATCCCGATTGCTTCAAATCACAGTGAATATTGAAATAATAATAAGTTTATTATTCCTGTTGTTAGAGGGCGATTATAATGGTTACCATTATACGGGGTATCCCCAGAACTCGCGACATGGAAAAAAAGGGAACGTGCCGAAAGTTATGCGAAACGCATACTTGAAAATTAAAATTATCTAACGCAAAGGAAAAGCGAGATAAGAATAAAAAACGATAGCCAATGCCAATACATGGCCATAGAATTATTTAAATTGCTAGGATACTTAGGATGCATTGTTGATATTATAATTTGATCGACTGGAATCCACTTCATTGTGACACTATTGTCACTTTTCGTTCCTGTCATTATTTATAATTTTAAGTTATGTTTTCCCCCTCCGATTATGCCGAAATGATGATTACACTAGTTTACAAAATCGAAAAAAAAACTTTGCCCACCAAATCACACTCAATTTTTTTTTAATGAAGCGTTTTTGAAATATGAATTTTCAATTATTTTTTTTCAAAGGTGTTTTGACGTTTTTGAGTGTAGCTTGAAATCTAACTAATCGGTTTGGTCAAACAAGCCCTTAAATTGAAGGTATTTGAGCCCTCTAAAACTTTCTTTTTACATACTTTCGATATTGGATTGATTTGATATTTTGGCGCTAGCGATTTTAATAACTTAAAAAAATCATTTTTATAGCAAAAATTGAGGTCGAAAATTTACATATCGTCCTGGGAAAGGTTTAAAACAAACAGATAACTCCAGTTTGAATTTTTTTCGTGAAGCTGACATTTTTACAAAAAAAAAACAAGCTAATGTTGATAAAAATACATGGAAAAATGGCGAAGTTATGAATTTTTTAGTGGAAGACCAAAATTCAGCTTTTTGACGATTTTTCTTTTATTTTGTAATATGTTTATTCTTTAATGAAAACCTAAGTAAAGTGCATGATTGGAATTTTTTGAGTTTTTATTATAATTATTCAAAATTTAAATTTGAAATGACTCCGCAAACGTGAATTTTTTTGTTTCTCGTGTTGAAATAGAGACATTTTACTGCTATTTTTTGATATTTCAACAAGGTATTTTTATCATGATTTTATGTAGTTAATAAAAAGTTTAAAATGAGTAAAATAAGTAGAGAGTTCGAGTGCGTAAATAACCCGCACAATCTGGGCTACGTAAGTGATGAGCACGGAGAACGTTTTCACCAGCAAATGAAGGCTATGGAGCGGCGGTATCACGGCTTCTGGGATGCAGCCATGATGGGTGATTACATTTGGCCCCTCATACGAGAAACGGAATACGAAAGCAACAAAAAACAAAGAAGGAGCCAGATTTTTTTTAAACCTATGCTTATTACAACAAAATAAAACTTTCAATATCTTTAATGTTCAATAATTATTGTTTAATATTCAATATATAATTTAATTTCAATATTTAATGTATAAAATAAAAATCCAATGTTCAATATTAAATTTTATATAATTCAATAAAATGAAGAAAAAATGTAAAAATTCTCGAAAAACTGAATTTTGGTCTTCCACTGAAAAGTTCATAACAGCAGCTTATTTTTTTCCTTTAAGAAATTTTTTATTTTTGGCGCGTGGTTCTGGAACAAATATGTTTTTAAATGGTCTTAGGTTACTTACTAGTTTGTTTAAATAACGTTAATTTAAAACCATGTGAGTTTTTCTTAACAAAACTTAGTTTTTCATAGTTTACTAGTACTAGGACAAGCCACAACACTGAATGTGGCAATTAACTCAAACAACAAAGCCTTACTAACCATAATGATGTCAAACAACGTAAGTTCAAACAAAATTAAAGTACTCCACCATTAATTAAAAAATACATTTTAGTTCGTGGAGTTAAAGGGAAGCGTGTTTAAAAAATTCGACAAAAACAACTTGTTCCAAGTATCCTGCAGTGACGTCCGAGAACGGTTTCACCTCTTCACTCTGCTATTCATCGTGGTCCTCCAAACCATGCGCGAATACTCCTGGAAAGTCGAGAGGTTCTGGGTTCTGATCCCAGAGTGCGTGATAGTGCTGGTAGCGGAAGTCTTCGTCGACTGGATCAAGCACGCTTTCATCACGAGATTCAACGAGCTGCAGTTGGACGTGTACCGCGACTACACGACCAGTCTGGCGTACGACATGGCGCAAACCCGCCAGAAACACGCGTTCTCGGACCACTCGGACCTGGTCGCGCGCAGAATGGGGTTCATCCCGCTGCCGCTGGGCGTCGTCATGGTGAGGGTCTTCGTCAGCGCCGTGGCGATCGAAGATCTCCCGAGCGTCGTCATCTGCGTCGTGGGTTACCTGTGCTTGATGTCGTTCAAGGTGGTAAACAGTCTGTTGATCCTCGGCAAGGCTTGCGAGTTGATAACGCAGCACAAGCAGGAGAAAGCCTCCGCGCAGTCGCCGTCCAGCAACAGAGCAAACAGCCCTTCGACGGTTCCCAAAGCGAAGGACTCGAAGGATATCGCTACGAGTCCTTTGCATCCGGTCACGGATCAACCGCTTTCCAACGGAGACTTCAAAGAAGCGCCGACTGATAGTCTCCAAATCGGCGACCTGTCAGCCGCGATTTTCGCCAACAGCACTGTGGACCTGCAGAACGCCAGTCTGAACGAGGAGCTGTTGAAAGTCGAGGGCGACGAGATCAAGATCGAACCGGTTTTGGATTCCGACATAGTCACGCGAAGTTTTCCGAACATAACGGCGGAATTCCACGACGATAAGCCCGAAGTTGCGTCCGATATGAAACGAGCGGAATCCGAACCTTCGTTGAACACTTGCAACGCTGAAGAGGACGACATTCAAAAATAATCACGAAGCACAACTCTCTTTTAAAAAGTGGGAAACGGTGGCCTTTCTTATATTCACAGCACTGTACAATTTCAAATGATGAAGTTACTAGTCGTTGCTTTTGTTAATATTTATTATCATTTTTATAGCTAGTTGTTTTTTACTTTTTACGGCTTAATTTTGTCAAATTAAAATGTAAATAAAATACAATATTTTATTAAAACATTTCGTATTATTTCCTGCATCACACACCTAAATAATCTGATACCATCGAAAAATACTTATTTTTTATGTTATAAATTAAAATTTGCGACTTTCCTTTCTATAATAAATAATCTCTATAGAAAGCACGGCATTTTCGATTGCACCTATAGTCCATTCCATTTAAGAATTGACTAGATGTCGCTGCGAAACGAGGCCGGTTAACACAGGAGAACGCGGTAAATTTAAATATATTATGTTACAACGAATATGGACAAATCATAGCAACCCTGAATATTCTATACCTTGGAAAAATAATGTATTATACTAGTTAAGACCTTTTGACACAGAAAAAAATTATGATTTGTATTATTTTCTGAAAATAAGACGAAATTAACATTAAATTGAGATACATAACCTTAATTATTCGACTGCATTTCTTATTTAAATGTCAGTGGGATTTTTTATGTGGAACATAGTACCTACGTATTTTAAAGTTTTCACAATTTTTTATGATTTTATAATATAAAAATTCATTTTTTTAAAAATAGACCGAGTTTTATTAAAAACCATGCGAGAATAACCTTTTAACCATTTTTAGTTTAGTTTTTCTACCTTAACACAATATCACACGCTTCTTACAAAAAATGTCACAAACAAACATAAAGGTCACACATAAAATGGCTGTTTTCACTGAAATTTTTTTAGCACTGCCAATCCTAGAAAACACTATGTTGCCAAAATGTTTGTTACAATCCCTGTACGTTATCACAAACAACGACATCTATTGTTATGTCCCTTCACTAAACTAGGGACTAAAGTCGCAATAGAAGTGCACACCTCCTGGTTCTAATACTAGACTGCATCATAGTACTGCTAGCCAAAGTCTTCGTCGACTGTATTAAACTCGCTTTCATCACGATCTTCCGAGCGTCATCATCTGCGTCGTGGGATATCTGCTTGATGTCGTTCAAGGTGGTAAACAGTCTGCTGATCCTCGGCAAGGCGTGCGAGTTGATAACGCAGCACAAGCAGGAGAAGGCCTCCGCGCAGTCGCCGTCTAGCAACAGAGCAAACAGCCCTTCGACGGTTCCCAAAGCGAAGGACTCGAAGGATATCGCCACGAGTCCTTTGCATCCGGTCACGGATCAACCGCTTTCCAACGGAGACTTCAAAGAGGCGCCGACTGATAGTCTCCAAATCGGCGACCTGTCAGCCGCGATTTTCGCCAACAGCACTGTGGACCTGCAGAACGCCAGTCTGAACGAGGAGCTGTTGAAAGTCGAGGGCGACGAGATCAAGATCGAACCGGTTTTGGATTCCGACATAGTCACGCGAAGTTTTCCGAACATAACGGCGGAATTCCACGATGATAAGCCCGAAGTTGCGTCCGATATGAAACGAGCGGAATCCGAACCTTCGTTGAACACTTGCAACGCTGAAGAGGACGACATTCAAAAGTAATCACGTAGCACAACTCTCTTCTAAAAAGTGGGAAACGGTGGCCTTTCTTATATTCACAGCACTGTACAATTTCAAATGATGAAGTTACTAGTCGTTGTTTTTGTTAATATTTATTATCATTTTTATAGCTAGTTGTTTTATACTTTTTACGGCTTAATTTTGTCAAATTAAAATGTAAATAAAATACAATATTTTATTAAAACATTTCGTATTATTTCCTGCATCACACACCTAAATAATCTGATCCCATCGAATAAATATTTATTTTTTATGTTTTAAATTAAAATTTGCGACTTTCCTTTCTATAATAAATATTCTCTATAGAAAGCACGGCATTTTCCATTGCACCTAGAGTCCATTACATTTAAGAATGGAGTAGATGTCGCTGCAAAACGAGGCCGGTATACACAGGAGAACGCGGTAAATTTAAATAAATACCATAGAAAAATAATTTACTATACCAGTTAAGACCTTTAGACACAAAAAAAATTATATATTGTATTAATTTCAGAAAATAAGACGAAATTAAAATTAAACTGAGGTACATAACCTTAATTATTCGAAACCCAGTACATATGTTGTAACAAATTTTTATGATTTTATAATATAAAAATTCATTTATTAACAAATAGACTTAGTTTTATTTAAAAACCATGAGAAAATATTCCTGGAAAGTCGAGAGGTTTTGAGTTCTAATCAGATATAAAGAAGGTTAGAGAAAGCTTTCTCTCGGTCTTAAAAAGAATTGTATTTTAAGCGCCATCTTGGCCCATCTATCAAAATGACTCAAATACATTGTTTTTTGGCAGGATAGAAATCTGTAATTTCTATACACGGGAAATTTAATTATATTATGGTTTTCTTTTAGCTTGGGTTAGGTCGTAAGAAAAACAACTAATGTAATATAACATAAGTTTATTTTGAAAATTATTCACAAATATAGAAAAGAACAAAATAAAGAATATAGAAAATAAAATAATAATAATTTAACGGTTAAATTACAACGAACAAATCAATAAATCATTACAACGAACAAATAAATAAATCATAGTAGCGAACGAAACTACGTAAATCCGACAAATCCGATTATAAATCAGTGAACTAAACGAACTAGTCTTTTGTACTTTTCACTTTGATGAACGAGATCGAAATCAGGAAAGTGAACTAAACTTCCCACCTCTATGGGCCATCATGGCCCATCTATCAAAATGACTCAAATACATTGTTTTTTGGCAGGATAGAAATCTGTAATTTCTATACACGGGAAATTTAATTATATTATGGTTTTCTTTTAGCTTGGGTTAGGTCGTAAGAAAAACAACTAATGTAATATAACATAAGTTTATTTTGAGAATTATTCACAAATATAGAAAAGAACAAAATAAAGAATATAGAAAATAAAATAATAATAATTTAACGGTTAAATTACATTTTAACCCTTTGTGGTCAAACTTTTTAAAGTTTGTTATACAGGGTGTTTGTGACAAACTAACTAAAATTAATGCAAAAAGTTTATATGGGTGATTCTACAAAAGTTGGGGAACTTTTGACCTCATTTTGTTTTTTCGGAGAAAATTAAACAGTATTTTGTTATGAGAACATAGATAATATAATAAATATACTGTTCCAAACCGGGCCAGTCACTTTTTCAAACAGTTTCTGAAATATCTGTGTTTTCTAAATTTTAATGCAAGTATACCAGGGTACTAATTAAATACATAATTTATTGGAAAATATAAGATTTATTGCAACTTTGAGCATATTATACATTATATATTATAATCAAATAATACCACACATCAGTGGCGGCTGGTGGATTTTGGGTATACCGATATCTCAATAATTAGATATGTGACCCACACCAAATTTATATGAGTTTATAATGACATTAAATAAACAAGTTCTGCGCAACCAGAATTTAAATTGAAGTTTGCGAAAAAAAGATAACCGAAAACATCGAACATGGAACTGACGAAACGGTACTGATGAATGGGATACAAATTTAAGATTATAATTCGGAATTAAGTATTTTACTGAATTTTTTTATTAGTGGATGCTACTTATCAACAAATCACATATAGCCTTATATAAATTACAATGAAATATGTATACGTAAGAAAATAACTACTCACCACAGTACTGATATTTTGACTGGAACTATACGTGCATTCACCACAACTTCGCCGCTTGCATTGTTTTCAAGATGACTGTCGTGCAAAGGGCGGGCTCTGTAGGTTATTTTTTACCAACACTTTAGTTAAAACGAGGACTTGACTTTTAAACTTCAATATTTCGCAGGAATTTTGAATTTTAACATTGGACATAGAACTGACGGGTAAAAGTGATTACAAAGATTATCAATTTTTTAAAAATTGCTATTATTCGAATCTATGATAAAATATGAAGAATACATTATTTAATGTTTTACAGTTTGTAGAAAAATTGAAAAATTTAAGATAAATTGAATATATTTTAAAATAAAATCACTCAAATATTTGATTCAGGAGTTGTGACACGCCAAGGTACTGATGTTTTGAATATTGATTGTTATTGCAACGGTGTATAAGTAAATATTCAGTGTATAACAGCTAAGATATAATAACCAACGTATTAGACAGAGAGGTTTTCAAATTTGTGCCTGTGTAAATAAAACCACAATTTTAAGCACCGTGATTGGTCTAAAATAAATCTTATTCAACTTAACGCTTTATACTTAAATGGAATACACTAAAGTAAAAATATAAAGTATTTAAATAGAGTATTAAAAGCACGCTCGAGGCTATGCAGATATGTTTAGTTTGAAAAAAAAATAGATATGTAAGTATACCTTTCATTCGTAAGAAAAAATTTTCAACATCTATAATAGCACGTATAAAGTCGATTGAATACAATTTATGCAATATTAAATGAATGGCAGTAGGTAATAATTGTCAGTCAGTATGTAAATAACAAGACAATATGTTCGGTTGATTATTAGCTGGTTTTGCGTTCGTGGTCCTGTACATTATTACTCCCCGGTCTACCTTGAAACATATATGAATGAAAATATTACTTTATTTCTTTTAATGAATGAAATCGGAAAAAAGTCGAGAGATTTAATAAATGAAGATTAAAACTTTATTTCGGCATCGTTCAATACATTTTTCGCGGATCAGATGGCCCGTTTTCACGGGCTCTCCCGAAGTGACGTCAGCAGGAATTATCTTCCCTCTGACGTCAGAGAGGCCTTGAGAATCGGTGCTTACGTCAGAGCGTCGGTTTCCACGGCGACGCGACGCATCCAGAAACAGGTCTGCACTAGGCAGTGTATTGTGTACTTGTTGGGATTTTTCCTTTTTAAAATAAACCCTGTTAAAAATCGTGGGCGTTACTTATTCGATGGGTGACTTTAACATTATCAAAACAAATAATAAGTATACAGTTCTGTTTTTTATTTATAAATTTAATTCTTTAGCAGATTTTAAAGCAGTGGCGGCTCGTGACCATTCATGAAGGTGAGGCCCATGAACAGCTATATGGCACCGCAGGCAATTTTTTT